TCTATGTTTCTTTCCTCTTTTCTTTTATCTTCAGCATGTTCAATTCTTTTTTCTTCAATTATCTCTTTTTCTATACTTTTTATATTTGCTTCACTAGCTTTATGTTCAGATTTATTATTCTTTTTCTTTTTTTGTTTAATGTTTAGGCTATTTGACTCTAATTTTCTATTACTTTTCCTTTCTACTATACTTTCTTCTCTAACTAATCTAAACTGCTCATATTTCTTTTTTCTGTTTGCTAGTCTTTGTTATACATCTTCAAAGCTTTTTTCATAATCAAATATTAGTATACACTATTGATTACCTTTGAAGAATTCTTTATATATTCTTTTTATATATGAATTTCCTTTTAATACCTATTTTAGAGATTTTGCTTAGTATTTTGTACTATTTTCTAATACATTTACTGCTGATACTTTTGCTTTGATATCTATTTTGTTTTTATATCTCTCTTCTCTTAGTATTCAAATACTTTCGTCTAAAGATTTTGCTACTTCTACTACTTCTTCATGTATAAATCTAATTCTTTCTATATTTTTAAATTATTTTGAGATGTGATCTTTGTTGTTTCTTGTAACTCTTTTATAATCATTTCTATTTCTTTCAACTCTATATTTAGTACTTCTAAAGATTGAAGTTTCTAGATTTATCTCTCTTACATCTGTTTTTATTTCACTATTCTTGCATATTAGATCCAAATTTTCATATTCAAAAACTTTTTCTACTTTTTCTATATCTTTATGCATTACTACTCTTTTGATTAGTTTTCTCTATTCTCTTGTCACTATTACAATATCACTCTCTACACCTATTATTCTTGCTACTAACTTATCTACATAATTTTTAAAGCTTATTACTGATTTGCTACTCTTAGCTAGGATTTCTTTACTATTTTCTTTAGATATTTTTCTGATTAACCTTAGTGTATTTTGTTTGTTTTACATTTTGTACTTAAATTAATCTACTCTGTACAATTTTCTAATTTTCTAGTTTAGTAATTTTAAATTTCTTTAAAAGTTGTCTAGTTTTAAACTTGTATATACTGGCTTTTGTTTACTAACTTATCATATGTCTATATAACATATAATATCTTTGTTATTGTTTTGATTAGTTTTCTAAGTCTACATGTATCTAAATAGATCTTACTAATTATCTTTTTTGTCAATTTGCATTTTAGTTTTTGTATAACAAATATTAATATAATTTTTAGAGTTTTTGTTGTTTTTCAAAATTATTAAAAATTTTTTTAAAAAAACTTTTGAAGAGATATTTTTCTTTGTTTTCTTATTTTTATTACTTAAAGAATACTCTTTCTTCTTGTTTAGATGTAATTTCTGGTTCTAAATCTATTATCTTAATAACTTTTCTTGTGTTTTATAAGTGATCTACTGAATTTTCTATAGATTATTCTTTAGCTCAAATTTTGTTCAAAATAATCTATAGGAAGAGTTGATCTGGTCAAATTTAAATATTAATATTTGTTAGTAAGATAGTTAACTTATATTTTATTAGTTCTTTCATAAAATCTTCTGTTGTAAAAGAGCTAATAATTCTATCTAATAATTAAGTTTATACATCATATATGTTGAGTTATTTTTTTCTAATATTGTATAAGCCTTTTCTAAATTGTTGTATCTATATACTTATATAGTTAGTTCTACTATGTGTTATTGTTTGTTTTTGTAAATCACATAAAGTAATTTGACTATATAGAAAATGAGAATTTTTGATATCTTCAATAGTATTAACTGAACTAGTTTTTGATATATAGTCATCTTATTTATTCAATGAAGATCTACTTCCTTTTTCAGTAGTTTAGTTAACTGATTCTTTATAGATAACTTAGATGTCTCTATATTGGAAGTGAGAAAATTTGTACTAGTTGTTTTCTTTTTTTTAATTGTTATTAGATATGACTATTTCTAATTTGTATTTGTTATATTATCAATCTCAAGTAGTATAATAGTATTAAAATTTTCAGAAAGAGAAACATCCTTACTTTGTTGTATTAATATTTGATCTTCAATTTGTATTTCATTTTAAGTTTCATCTACTATTGTGTCTAAGTTTTTTCTTCTTTTTTTGCTATTTTGTAGCTGTTTTTGAAACATATTAGTTATTATATCTGTTAACTTGAGAGAGAAGGTAGAGTAAGAGAACTTCTTGTTATGTTGTTTTGTTACTGAACTAGTTGGCAACAAGTCTTTAAAAAGTTTTAGTGTAGTGAGAACTTTGTCATGTGTTCTTTTAATATTTGTCTTGTTATATGTTTGCTAAGATTTATACTATGTTAGACAATAGTTATTATTTAGTAGTTGTATCTAGTATTTTCGTTCGATATTTTATTGTTTTTTATTTTTCTTATAAAATTCAGAGGCGCGAAAAAGAGTTTGTGATTTTTTATTTTATTTTATTTTATTTTTATTTTTTTTTATTTCTTTTATATTTTTTTTTTTTAGTTTCTAAATTTTCTTTTTGTATTGTTATTATATAGTGAACAGAATCGTATTTTGCTTAGTCTTTTTTTTTCTTTTATCGTTTTATATACAGTATATTTTTATTTAATTTTGTTTGTGATTTGAACAGAACTGTAAGGTAGGTGCTGATAGCGCAAATGGCTTTTGAACAGAACAAAGTTATATAGAATAGTTTTTGTGAATAAGAAAATTCGTTGTATTTTTCAGTGTCATGAAGATATAAAAGGAGTGCCTTTTCGCACTTGAATAAAGTTCAGACTTCGGTATCTTTAAAGTGATAAAAGGATAGACTTCTCAAGTGTTTATTATTAGTTTTTCTTTTTCTTTTGTTATCGTCGTGTTACCTGTAAAAATTCGTTAATAATCTTTGTGTTACCTGTCAAATTAATTAACTATCCTATAATCAAAGCCGTGACGCCTTAAATTAAATCCATCATTATCAAACGTCTTGAATATTGGTAATTGTTACCTCCTTTTATTATATAATTTATTACTCGATGTAATAAATAATATAATAAATGGATGTGAAAATTACTAATATGCAAGACATTTTGACAACACTGATCATTATTAATTAATAGCGATAGTGATTGGATTCCTTAAATTGATAAATTACCTGATCTCGCGCGCATAAACCCATAATATAAGTCATCGTGTTTGGTTATCCTGTTGTTTATTAATCCCCGATATAGATCTTAGATCCTATATACCATTTACTATTGAAGCTAAATTGTTGTTTTTGCTCTCCCATCAATAGTAACAATAGGTAAAAGAGGATCCGAATTTAATCCGAATAGCATCTGACAAATAGAATCGAAACACTATCTCCTTAAAGCGTTCGAAAGTAAATAAATAAATGATTTTTTGTATTCTTATGATTGGAACTGCTTTAATCATTTTAACTGTTTAATCGTATTAACCATTTAATTCAGTTGGCATTAAGATAATCTTGGCCTATGGTCAACATAATTAGGCCCCGAAATTATGGAACAATTTTTATATGATTTAACGGTTCCAATCCTTAAAAAAAAAGAAAAATTCTACGCCCTTGAAAAAAAATGGTATTGATTTTTTTTGTGCCTTTTCGTTCATAAAAGTGTTTCGGGCACAAGTAAATGTTACACTGGGTCGGCAGTTTACAGAACTGGCATTTCAAAACGAATCAATGTTCATCAAAGAAATAACAAAAACGAATATAAATATATATAACTTCCCGCTTAATAATAAGAACAAGTGCCAAACTTGTTAGATACAATGTGTATATCAAAAAAATTTGCTATCGCAGTTATAATAAAAATGACCACATGAAAAAAAATAATACATAGAAAGTAAAATATTGATATTTGCAGATAAAATTTAAGGAACCACTATTTCCACTATATTAACTTACTGTTTCCACCATATGGTCGGAATTAGTTAGTTATTGTGATATAAATAGCAAATAAATATGGTGAAATAGTAATTCTCTAATATTATAATATTTACTTATTTCAAATTATATGAGCTGTTCAGAAAGTTTTGACACTATTGATCCTTCATTTAACATAAGACTTATAAGAGTTGGAGGGCATAAAAAAACCGCAAATTATAGTAATTCTATTGGCTATAAAAAAATATAAAAAGGTATAAAAGCCAATACTGCAATTTTATTGGTTAATTGGTTAATATGATTTTTTTAATTTAAAATTTAAAAAATAGAGGGATTCAAGTTTAAGTAGCCTTTGTAAGCACGTAAAAAGAAAGTATAAAATTGAGATTAATAATCTCTCCCTGGTTTTTCTCTGTGCTATGATTATCATTGGTCATATTTTGAATCCGAAATTCAAATAGGCGTTTTTTTTTTTTTTTTTTTTTTGCAACACTCAAATAAGGTTCAAACAAGTTATAATAGTCTAATCAGTCTAATCCTTGTTATATCGTCAACTATACGATATATAATTTAGAAATTCAATTCTTGTATATCTTGTTTATGTGTCGTCGTACCAAGATGTTAGGCTAGCAATATTAATTTTTGGCCAGCATTATATTAGTTGTTAGTCGTTAGTGTAACATACGTAAGTTACGTCGGCGGTTAAAAATTTAACTGTAAATTACGTATACAACTTATTATACAACCCTGCTCATTATCGTTATAGTTACAAGTTATGGCATCTTTATACAAACCCAAAAAGGAAATTTAACGTTAATATGTTGAGATATTTCTGCGTCATCATACAATGGTTAGGAGAATTAGGGAAATTCTATACATTGAACCAAATTCACGAGAGGAAGCTTTTTCATAGAGAACCAAGAACGATTTCATGGGCACCGGTAGTACGTGTATACATTCCAATCATTCCAATCGGGGTTTTTTTTGCCAATATTGGGTAACAAATAAATATTAGTACATCACATGAAAGGCCCCTAACTTTATCTGCGAGTTCCCAATTTGATAAAGAATGTTACTTTAAAGCAAAAACATGAATTATAAAATTCACACACTCTTTTCCTTGGTATATAGAATACACTATCAAAGTCTTTGAAATGTCTCAAAATAAATACTTAAGACTTGAAGAAAATGATTTGGTTGAAGAAGAATTAGAATTACAAGAAATATCAAATAAATCTCTAGATAATGTAGACGAAATAAATTATGGTTTAAGAAATCGAACTAGCACTGGAGATCTTGATGACAATGGATATCTGTTGGATGATTCTAAAACATCAATAGATTCAGAAAGTTTAGAGAATTCACCAATACCTATGGTGGCTGCGGTAATTAATTCGAGTTTGATTTTCATCAATTCATTTTTTTTTTTTTTTTTTTTTTAATTTTAAATAACTTTTGTATTCAGGCAGTTAGTGTAAAAGATGATCCGTCTTTACCTTGTACTACATTTCGATTTTGGATATTAAGCACTGTAAATATATTTTGCAATGTTAATGTAAAAATTTGGCTAAAAATTATTAACATTTGTTTTCTAGGTATTTACATCACTTGGTGCTGCTGTTTCAGAATTTTATTATTTCCGTTCTAACGGTGGTGGTTACTCTATATTTTTTGTGTTATTGGTTTCTTATATTATTGGAAGATGGATGGCCCATTTTCTTCCAATGCGCGAATTCAAATTTTATAAATGGAAATTTACTTTAAATCCTGGTAATGATTTCATATAAATTTTTAATCAATTACAAGATTTATGGTTTCACTTAAAATTTAATATACATAGGTCCATTTAATGTTAAGGAACATGTCCTCATCGCTGTGGCAGCTGGGGCTGGTGGTGGCTCAGCATATGGCACAGTTAGTATTCGTTATTTATTATTCTATACTTTCTCTGTTTGCATCATTTAACATATCATATATTTCTTATCTTTATTATAAATTATAGGACATTATTGCAATACAAGATCTGTTTTATAATCAACACCCAGGCTTCATCATAGGAATGCTACTTTTAATGAGCACTCAGATGATTGGGTATGGTTTGGCCGGATTTTTAAGAAAATGTAAGTCATTGTTAATTTATTTATTAAATATTAGTTATTGTCAATAATAATATATTTCAATTAATAGATCTTGTGCGGCCCGCTAATATGCTGGTACGCTTAATTTCATTAATAATTAAAAATATATATATTGTTTTTATTATATTTTAATATACATTAATTTTAATAAACCGATAGTGGCCTACTAATCTGGTGTTTTCCAGTCTGTTTTCAACTCTTCATGGGAATGTGTCCGATACACGGCACAAATTAAAATTTTTTACCATAACATTTACATTAATGTTTGTATGGCAATTTGTTCCACAGTTTATGTTTCCAATGCTGACAAGCATAGCATTATTATGCTTGATTAAACCATATAACAATGATATAGTTCGTATGGGAAGTGGTTATCATGGTCTTGGCATCTTAAATTTTTCTCTAGATTGGAATGCTATAGGGCAACCTGGACCACTGTACACACCTTGGTAAGAAGAATGACCTCTAGGTTCTATCTGCTCATCATTAATAACACATATATTACTATTTTAATTATTTAGGTGGGCACAAGTAAACTGGTATGCTGGTGTGATAATTGGAGCTTGGATAATAGCTCCAATTTTGTATTACAATGATTTTTGGTAAGAACTTTATGTGTTTGATGTTTAGGCGTAACATTATTATTTCTCATTGCTAAATTATTCATTAGGATGGCAAAAAAATTTCCAATTTTGGCAACTTATTCTTTAAATCATGATGGTGAAAGGTAAATTCTTCACAATAAAATATTATATAATTAAATTTTTAATTGAATACTAATTTAATATTAATTAAATAGATATAATCAATCTGCTATAATAAATTATAATACTGGCTCTTTGAATGAAACCGCTTATAAAGAATATGGTCCTTTATACCTAAGCGTTACATTCGCTGTTGGATATTTTTATTCTTTTATAGCCTTTACTGCCGCAATTACACATGTTATCCTCTTTTACGGTGATGAAATCTGGAATAGATTTAAAGCAAGTCGATCAGAAGAAGTTGAAGATATTCATTGTAAAATGATGAGAAATTATGAAGGTTTGAAGATATTCTATTTCTCAATCTTATTACAAAATATATTTTTTTAAAAGAATTTTTTTATGCTATTTTATAGAGATTCCAAATTGGTGGTATGCCTGTATATTTGTATCCATGTTATTTATCGCAGTAATTCTCTGTGACGTATCCGGGGCTCATTTACCGTGGTGGGGTTTAATGATCGCTGTTAGTATAGCGTGTTTTATGGTATTACCAATAGGTAATATTATTTCAATATAATTTATTTTCCATTTTTATAATTTATCATAACATTAAAAACCGTTTTTCCTTTTTATAATTTATTTCTGAACATTAAGGAATTATCCAAGCCGTATCAAATAATCAAGTTGGTCTTAACGTTATCACAGAAATGATTTGCGGGTAAATATAATTTATAATTTTCTTAAATTTGATTATATAAATTTACTTTGCATTTGGCCATAAAAAATTAGATATATTTTTCCGGGTCTTCCAATTGCCAACGTATATTTTAAATGTTATGGCTATATGGCTATGTATCAATGCCTATCATTCGTATCAGATCTTAAACTTGGTAATTATATTGAAATATTTGTTGACAATTTTAAATATGTTATATAGTTGATTCTGTCTAATTGTATATCATTTGAGGACGCAAAGAAAATTATTTTATGCATTCTTTAGACAGTATATCAAACTTTATAAAATTCATATTACTACTATTTAAAAATCTGATTATTTCATGCAATTAGACAGTATCAACTGCACATATGAACTTTTTTTTAGTAATGTTCTTTTATTAGGTCATTATATGAAAATTCCACCAAAAGCAATGTTTACAGCACAATTGTGGGGCACAGTTGTTGGTGCATTCGTTAATTATTGGATTTTACAATTGATAATATACGCCAAACGACCTTTTTTAGATGGTACAATGAAAGATCCAACTGGTCAATGGACAGGATATCGATCACAAGTTTTTAATACAGCATCGATAGTCTGGGGATTAATTGGACCAGAAAGAAATTTTGGCAGTGTAATTTTTTTTTAAAAAAAATTATTTAATATTTCAAATTTACATTTTTCTAATTATTACCTTAAATTTTACTCAGGGTTCTATGTACCATCCTCTACTTTGGGGATTTCCCATTGGATTCCTCGCACCTATTCCGTTTTACTTTTTACACAAAAGATTCCCAAAAGCAAAATTTAATTTAGTAACAATTCCATTAATTTGTAATGGATTATCACTTCTTCCTGGTACATATACAAATTTCATAATAACGGGGCTTATCGCTAGCTATCTGAGTCAGCGTTGGGCATACTACCGATATCCAAAGGTTAGATTTTATTTGTTAATATTTTATATATAGTTTTAATTTATTAATAGTATTGGTTATTGTTTAGTGGTGGAAAAAGTATGTATTTTTTATTTTATATATATATATATTTGAATCACTTAAATTATCTCATATATAATTTTATTATTTTAAAATGCAGGTATAATTATGTACTTTCCGCTGCATTTGATAGCTCATCTCAAATAGTAACAATGGTTATATTTTTTCTTTTTAATATTTTATTTAATGTAAGTATATTATGAGTTTGATTTAATTAGCATTTTTTTTTTTTATTAAATATAATTAATTTTTTAATAGGTATCATTTCCAGAATGGTGGGGAAATAATTTAGAAACTCAGGGTGAAAGATGTTTTGAATCGTCAACGTCTTCATAAATTACGCTAGAGTTTTTTTGTAAATTTACTAACTTGTTTAACATAGAATATTTTATATTAATTGTAATAATAATAAATATTTTGTTAATTTTATATAGTTATTGGTTATATTATACAGTATTATCAAATTAAATAATAAAAAGAGATTTATTAAGAAATCAGAATCTGGTAAAGGTCCAAAGCAAAAAAATTTAATTCGTAATACGTTAGTATATCATATAACAAAACATTTTTACAGGGTCTGTGGGACCGGATTTATACCGATTTTTGCATAATCGGGTTTAATTTAAGGATTATATTAAATATCGCAGGTGCTATATCGCTAGGGAACCTCGAATGTTAATATCTATTTTAATTTGATACGTATATAACAGTTAAGAATCTAGCATCGCCACCAAAATCAGTTACCGTTACAGTAATAGATTTTAATATATTAATAGTATTATTAAAAAGATAAAAATACTTTTTTGCCCAGTCGATTCAAAAAACTTACATTTCAAAATAATAATGAAATGTGTAATAATTGCAAAAGGAAGCATGAAGAGTAAAGGTTGAATGATATTTATATATGTACGTATAAGGAAGAAAATCCGAAGAACTATTGTGTACAAAAAAAAACCATTGAAGAGAAAATATTGTAATACGCATATGGGTCAAAACTAGAGTTATTACCCACGGGTCGAAAGTGCTCAGTATTTATCGACTCGAGTAATAGCTTTACTCAAAACTTGGAGTTAACATTAGCTATTTAAAAATCGAATTTTATTATCATATATTATAAGTTAAGTTCGTCCCTTTTCTCAGCATTCTTCCCTATTATTGTAATAATTAAATATATACTTTAAATAATAAAAATTCTCGGTCATTGTACTGTAAACATATAATTAAAATTTTTTCGGTCATTTCGTTAAAAAAAAAAAAAAATCAACTCGCATTTTTTTTAAAAAAGCTCATCAGGCGTTATTTTCTTTCGAAAATTTTTGCACCGTAAATTCTCTGAACTAATTTTTTTAAACAGCGATACGTACCCGATTTTGGTGGCGATGCTAGGTTAGTTTTTCAAAAATATGTCTGAATTTCGGTCATGTTATAACCAGTGTTCGAAATCTCGTTTCAATTTTGTGTTCTCATTTCATATTCTCGCATGTAATTTCCAGTTCTCAAAATGTTCTCACTATATAAAATTTGCAACTAGTGTGTTCTCGTTAGAGAATTTATGTTATCATGAGAACGCTGAGAACACAAATTTCGAACACTAGTTATAACGATGTAATCCACAAGAGTCACTGATGAAATTTCGAGAAAATGATAAATTTTTATTTTGTCAAGAATTTATGAAAATAGTTGTAATTGGTTTCAGTCCGAATATGCTTTTGAAAATAGATAAATCATAACATTTCTAATATTATATCATTAGCAAATAGTTAAAACAATTTCTAGAAAGCTCTTAGTAGTTAATTCTTCTGTTGGTCGGGTTTTTAAATAATTTCAGAATATTGATGTGTTGAAGAACTTCCGTAATTATAAATTGTTGGTAAATTAGATATTCTAAGTACTATAAACAACTTCTTTTCTTAATCTATCGTTTTAATAATTAATTAATTGTCTAGTTACCTAAATTATAGTTATTATATATAATATGGAAATAATATTTTCTATGCATTGTTATTTTTGTTATTTTAAAATTTACTATGTATAAAAACGCGTATTGTTTTCGAACCAAAATAACGCGTTTTAAAAAATTTAAATCAAAACAACTCGTTTTTGGAAATCACTCACATGATTGTTTTGATTCGAAAATCACGCGATTAAGATATTATCAACAACTTGTTTTTGGAAATCACTTATGATTGTTTTGATTCGAAAATCACGCGATTAAGATATTATCAACAACTCGTTTTTGGAAATCACTTATGATTGTTGTTTTGATTCGAAAATCACGCGATTAAGATCAGATGTAACAATAATTTATAAATAGTTACGGTTAGTTCTTTTTTTTCTTCTCAAACTCGATTTTCACACTGGTTGCTACTCATTTTCAGTACTTTGTGTCACGTCCTTTTCACGTCTCCCCAGTTCAGGATCTGCTGGTTCCGTATGAGGGATCGGTTATGTACCTTTCTTGGAGATATCTGACAAAAGGTTCGTGAGAAATGCATGGTTAAGGTTTTGGTAAAAAAAACGATTCCTTGCTGGATAGTTTTCCGTACCATGTTATGTTTCAAAGTGAAAATGTTTAGTGACTAGTTAAAAGCTTGTATAGAACAACCTACTCCAAGGCGGGAGACGCTAGGAGAGATGGGTTGGGGTATTTCTAGAAACGTTTTCGTACTAATATTTTATTTTATTTTATTTTATTTTTTTATTTATTTTTTTACTAACGTTTTTATTTTTATTTATTTTTTTACTAACATTTTTTATTATTTTATTTTATTTTTACTAACATTTTTGTTTTTTATTTTATTTTAATTTATTTTTTTTTTTCGTTTTATTTCATTTTCGTTTTTTTTTTATTTTTTAAATATCGAAACACTTTCTAAAAATACCTTCCCAACCAAGGAATACACCTCTTCGTGGTGGTTGGGACAAGTAAGAGATTTTTCTCTGAAACCAAGTATTCCGATTTATTTAAAGAATTTTATGATCATATTTAATTTATTATTTTATCGTTGTTAATAAGTGCATAATAACGCGCAGGTTATTATTTACTGTATCTCGTTTTTTATTTAAAAAATTTTAATAAAAAGATATCTAAATTATATACTGTATATAACATTATCATCTAAATACATGATTAACCCTTGTGTAGTACGTCCAATACGATAAAGTGCCATTCTTATGACTTGATGAATTTTATTAGTTGGAATAAACAATAGATTGTGTTCTTCGGCAAATTCTTTTACAATCTCTTTAAAAGTAATTTCATCGTCATCAATAATCGGTGCATAATTTGTTGATGAAAATAATTGATCTGAATCTGGAACTTCACTTTGTTGCGACGGGTGTTTTAATCTATCACAATAACCATATAATGAGTAAATAAAACAAATATCAAATATATATATATAATTAAACCACCTCAAAAAAATAACCGACCTGCTGGTACTAACGAAATACTCTCATTAATCATATTTAATCCTTTTATAAATTGAGTTTCAATGATTAAATCGGAAAGCATTTCCGGGGGGACACTGATTTCCAAAAACGATACCTATTAAATTGGATTATTGGTTTTTTTTTAACTAAAATATGATCGATCAGGTGTAAAATCTTACCATTCTCTTATTTATCATAATTGGGATTTTGTGTTAACTATGTATATAAAAAATCTAACCACTTTGGAAAGAAAGCTGTTTCAAATAGTCGTCCAAATATTTCTGAAGTAAACATATGCCTCCAGGTCATCACGCAATTAAAGAGTCCTATTGATATTATAGATCAAAATAATTAGAAAAGCATTATCGACTTTAAAACTCAAATATTAAGAGGCTTTACCTAATTCTTGCTTAATAGGATTAATTTGAAATCTTGTTCGAATTATCTCGGAAAGCTTTTTTCCACGAATACAAATGTTCATAGCTTTAGTATCTATAGGATTCCAATTTTGTAAAATTACACGGAACTTTGACGTATTGTCACGTACAATGGATCCAAGCGTTCACCTAATAAAGGAAGCCAAGAATGTAACCATTGATAAATCATCTCAATGTCCGTTTTAGGGTTCCATGCGTCAACTTCCCGCGTTAATTTTGGCATAATTAGTTGATTTATAATGTTTTCATAAATGAATACAGGAAGCAGCGGTGGTCGCCAGTTTTTGAGCAAATTAATTTCAGGATCAAAATCTCTCGTATACCAGGTGTTGCTTAATTAAAATGAAAGTATATAATCAAATATAAAATCAAGCATATACAAAACAACTGTTTTGATAAAGTTAACCTACTTTATTGCTGATCTGACCTTTGGGAGCCAAATGTTATACATCATACTCTCATATGGTGTCATCGATAATTCCTTGATGGTTTAGAAATAAGTTAGTAAGTTTAATATACAAAATATAAGATATATTTATATGTAATTTACCTTATATTATCATTTTCTGATAAGATTGCCTTTGTTGTTTTTAGTAACCCTTTCCATTTCTGAAAATTCATGCAACCCAAGCTTAGAATTTTCTAGCGGATCCCAAAATGTCATGTATTGTTTGAACTAAGAATATTGGACAACATTAACCCAATTGACAACTAACATGGATTAATATTATATATTTACTTACTACTGTAGCTATTATTGTAATAACAGCAACATCCAAATTATATAAAATATATTCCTCTTGATATTTTGTTTGCAATTTTTCAAAAGGATCCATAAAGAGTTGTAACGAAGGAGAATTACTAGATATTGTTAGTGTAAGTAGCCTATTGCATTCTTTTACAATGGATATTATATCATTAAGTCGATTTATACCTAGATATGTTAATATAGAACGTTGTAAGTAATTAGATACAAACAATCAATAAAATATTTGGAACTTATTACTTACGTTCAGTTTCATCTTCCAATAAAGTAGATATTCTATCTACATCTCTTTCAAGGGCTTTGGACCGTTCATTTTGTATCCCTCTCTCTCTAGTGTAATACTCTAGATCTAATTTTGACATGTCTACGATTAGACGAAGGTTATGACGAAGTTCCGGAAGACGAGTAGATGAATCTGGGATAGTAAGAGAGGTGATCTGGCTTGCAGATAATAGTTCACGAGCCTGAAATAGCAAATAGTTCAAAAATTTTGTAGTAAAAAGAAAAAAACATAGGGTATTTACGTAAACCAATCCCTACTTGTGGTCCAGTCATATCTATGATTTTCATTGACTGTATTGGAGTTACCGATGCAATATCGCTCATTATCTCATCCGCGGTTTTATATTCGACATTTAGTTTCCTTGATTTCGCAGATTTTTTCTAAGCATTCTTTTTTTCTTTCGATGAGAATTTTATCATCGGCAGCACTTTGCCTTTAACATATAACATACCTTAGTCAAAATTTTATGGAAACTTTACTAACAAAATGTAATTTATGATGATAATCTATCATACTTTTTTATATCCTTCTTTGATTGGGTCGTTTTTCATCGAAACCGCGGTAGGCCAATCCCATTTTCTGAGGCCGTATCTTTGTCTCAATTGGTTTTGTAATACCATGTCCCTCTGCTCCAAGACCTTCACCCTAAGCGCATTATTTTTAATAATGACCTTAACATTACATAATTTTTGTTTCGGCTTATGTAATATTTTTCATAAATATACCACTTTATAGCACATCTTTTGCATAAGCTTTAAGCCAATTCCTTTTGTATGTCGTTCAAATTTTCCAAAATCTCTATCATTTGAAATATTTGAAATGGGTGTTGAATCTTCCTGATCAGAATAATCATCATCCACTGAGGTAGAATGTATTGATTTTGACGTCGATTGATTTTATTTGATATTTGATTTTCAAATTTTTTTAAAGCAACAAATTGCACATCGCTAAGTGAGGATTAAAATTTAGGTCAATATTAAGTAAAAAAAAAAAAAATTCCAAGGTAAGCTTCTTCTTGAGTAAACTTACAACGTTTATGAAATCGAGCAGGATCTATATAATTCAAACTTTAAATCTTTAACGATCTATAATATATTTTCGTAAATCGCTAGTATACCTTCATATAATTGAGCTTCTTCTTGAAGTAAAGGATCTAAGATTTCATGAGAATTCTTTTCACTTTCATTAGAAGAATCTGACCCATCCAGGGTTGTTATTGGACTAGTCCAATATATAGTTTTAGCATTGGACTTGGACTGGACCAAATTCATTAGTCCAATTTAGTTCAATTTAGTCTAATTGGGTCCAGTTCAACATAAAATAATTTTATCGTATTATATCTTCGCTATAATAAATATGTATACGATGTTCATTAAATTAAAGGATTAATTTCATAGGCAGAAATTCGTCTGATTGGCCAATTTTCTGAAGATTATTTCTCTAATTATGGGACGATTAAAGCCATGTATCTTAGAGTTAGTTTTTTTGATGTAGTTAATAGTTTTATTTATATATAGATATCAAGAATGGAATTTATACAATATGTAGATCTATATGTAAAGGTACATGGCTTTAATCGATCCCTCTAATTAGTACAATTTAGTTAGTTGATATAATTACAGTATTAACTGTAATATATAAGTATATATTATTGGGCAAGAATTAACGAATAACAGTAATTTGGCTCAACTGGGCAAATGATTGGCTGACACGTGCTGCGAAGCGGCATGTGATCAGCCAATCATTTGCTCAGTTGAGCCAAATTACTGTATTCGTTAATTCTGCCCAATAATAGTGTTATCCGGCAATTTATGATCATAGCTGAATTCTCCTCTCTCATGCATAATTTAAAGATCTAAGAAAAAAAAAATTATAAAATCTGATTTTTCTATATAACGATAAGAAAAAATTAATTAATAAACATACCATTTTTTTTTCATTCTGTATATTAAAGTTGGAAATTCGGATGTTACTGTATATATAAAGTCTTTAAAGACTTTAAACTATAATATACTACTGGAAGCTTACAAATCACACCAATCTTACCTGGAAGTATAATTTAAAACTAATTTCGCTAAAAGCCTATAAATTCTATGAATTAAAACCTATGAATTAAAATCTACGAATTAAAACCTATGAATTGAAACCCACAAATTGAAACCCACGAATTGAAACCTATGAATTAGAATTGAAAACTACAAATTAGAATTGAAACCTATGAAGCTTATATCATCTCACTAAAGCTCATATCATCTGATATAAGTTGAAAAAAAACTTTATTATAAGGAGGTTTTTTTATAATACTAAAGGATAGCTCTACTTTTGCAAAAGCCACAAAGGCTTAAGTAATAGTTTTTTTTTTTTTTATTATTAAGGCTACTTCCTTGGCTGATTAGATTTTTATTAGTTTGTTATTGTGGAACTATCACATGAATAGTTTTCTAAGGTTTTATAGTTACATGATGAGTGTATAACAAGCTACATGTATAACTTTAATCATTGTTTAATTTAAGTAGTCCACCATATAGACAATTGACCATCTGTTGGTTCTACATTATGCTACCATACCTGCAACCTGCCTGTAAGTTACCTATTTAAACACTCTGATCATTAACTCTCCTTCCATCCCAAACTAACGTTATTACTATGACCAACTGCTTACACTAGCTGGTTCACTCGCAAATCCATTTCTTTGCACAGCTTAGGTCCTCTCAGGATGCGTATGCTCAACGTATTGTGAGTCGCAGAGCTTCAGTTAACCTCAGAAGTAATTCCTATCAGAGTAGTCATGTGCTCATTTTACAGATTCACCTGGATTAGACCCTTGTTGATGTTCATACAAATCTAGTTCTTGCTGTGGCCGTCTACTAGATATAGTCCTCTAAGTTCTAGTCAGATATTTCATAAGGTAGATCCTCCTAATCTAGTTAGCCACCAAGCCAAGTTAGTGTCACTGCTAATGCAAGACACTAGGCTGCATTACATAGCAGACTTACTCGTATCTATTGATCTTACATCCTTAGTACTTAGATTTTTCACTAGATCAGGTGTTAACCAGCTTGACTGTCAAAATCTGTACTACTTCACCAAACTCAGGATTTCTACCATGCAGGTCCCCTGTCTGTAGATCCTATCAAGATTTATTTATGTAATATAACTTGAGCATTGCGTCACACTTCTAATGTCTAATTAACATTAGTGCAACGTGATTTACAGAGTTGTAACCTCCAAAAACAGGCAGAGTTTACCGTAAGTTAGGTACAAAGGTTTGAGTAATTATTCAAATTTATTAACAGTGGGATTTGAACCCCAGACCTCTTGTATGGCAGTCTGGCAATCTAACCACTACACTATGATCACTAGACCTTCTCAAGTAATAGTTTTTTTTTTATATATGTTTTATATAGTATATAGGAATTTATTAACATATATTTTTTTTATTACAGTATATAAAATATACAGAACTTTCAGTTAAAGAACTTAATACAATATGTGAAAGTTCAAGAGTGCAAGCTATTCATAAAGTCATACTAAATTGGATTAAAACATTGGAGAAATTTCACTCTGATATTGAGTATATTAGTAAAATTAAAGATATAAGGTCAAAAGAGATATTAGAAGATCAGTTAGTGAAATTTGTTTGTGTTATGAAATGAAAAGACAGTAAAGATTACTATGCTACATCAATAAGGAGTTGTATGGCTGTAATCTGGAGGTATCTTAACCAATATTCTATTATAGAAAAACCTGTAGACATTTTAAATTCAAAAATATACTTTGATTTAAATCAAGTAATTAATAGCAAATTAAAAAGCTTCTTCACAAAAAGTTTGAATTAACATTTTGGAGCTAATAGACTTATATTGAAGGAAGTTGAACAAATTCTCAAATACCTAACTATGCAATATGATAATTCTGAAGGGTTACTATATCGAATTTTCTTTTATAATTCTACTCTGTTAGCATTACGAGGTAGCGAGTATCAAACTCTTAAAATTAATAACTTTTGCAAATATTTTGATAGAGGAATTGACGTTAAATTGTTTAAATTAAAAACTAATTAAAGAGGAATTGAGGACTATGATGCGTAAGTAGAAGTAATTAGTTTGCTTAATAATAAAAGTATAATTGATGATTATAAATTCTATTTTACTAAATGCTCAGCTACTACTGTATTAAATTTTTATTTAAAGCCTCTTTGAACAAATTAAGATAAATAAAAAAAATTTTTTTTCTTTTTAAACATATTAACTCTTTTTTTATTAGTTGAATTTAATAGATAATAGTACTATGGATATGTATTGGCTGAGTGACTATTAAGAGATTACTTCTGAATTATATACAAAACTACTAATATCATAATTGAAAATTGCAATCTATCTAATCATTCTAAGAAGAAAATAGTAGTACAAATGATAAAGGTACTTAGTTATTCTGATGCTATAGTAATATTAATTATGTAGTACAAATCTCAGAAAAGTCCAGCAGTATATGAAAGACCTAAATTTATTATACAACATAGAGGACTCAATGGATTTTTTAGTGCTTTGTACAAATTTCCAATAATATATTAAAAGGTAATTTTAAAATTTATTTTTATTACTCAAATATTTTAACTAATACATTTTTTTTTAATATATAAAGCTTTAAATAAACATGATACCTCTAAAGAAAATGATGCCTCCAAAGAACAGTACTCCTCTAATGAATATGATGCCTTTAACAAACATGATACCCCTAATGAATATGATACCTCTAATAAATATAATACCTCTAATAAACATAACGCCTCCAAATATTATAGCAATTTTGTTCATGTAAGTTTATACATACAACATGCTAATTCATAAGTTTCATTGACAAATGTATTTAATGATCTTGAGGTATTTCCACCAGATTATTCTTCGATTGAACTTAGTGCAGAACAAAGTAATATACTTGCTAAACATAATCAGAATCCTCTAAAAGACACAAAAAAAATAGTTAATGATCTTGGAAAAGATCTTAAAAAAGTAAAAAATAAAAAAGAATTTATTAAGAGTTTTCTTTCTGATAATATTTTTCATAATTGCATATTTAATTTTTAATTAGTTAGAATAGGAAATGTATGTAAAATATTTATACTGAATTTATGAATTTTAAATTTCTTATCATAATATTTTGCTAGTAATAGTTTTGATTTTCATTAGTACTTTCATAGTGCCTACAAAAAAAAAAAAAAAAAAGTACTAGCCTATAAATTAAAAAAAAAGTATTGATCTAATTAGACTCTTTACTCTAGTCAAAATAATTTCAAATTATTTGGTCTAATTAGACTCTTTGCTCTAACTATAACAATTTTAAATTGTCCTAGCCTAATTAAGCTTTTTGCCTCAGTCAAGATAATTTTAAATTGTTCTGGTATAATTAAACTTTTTGTCTAGCCAAAACAATTTTAAATTGTTGTAGCCTAATTAAACCCTTCACTCTAGCCAAAATTATTGTTATTTGTAATTATTATATGATTATCAGTAATGTAAAAATAATTACTACTGAAAAATTTATTAATTAGTATTATATCATAAAACTACAAAAAATAACAGTGCAAAACTGTATCATGATTATATGAGTTTGCCAGATAAATAAAAATATTTTGAATATTTTTTCTACCTCTATCATAGTAGATGATCTCTATAAAACTTATTACTTTTAGATTAATATATATCTATATTTATTAAAAAAAGTGAGTTTTAAAAACAGAAATACAACTAAACTCTTCAACATCTTATAGAGTTTAGAATAACTTACTTTTGATATATGACTTGAACATGATGATATAATATTGTAGATTTATATATTAGATGATATCTATACTCAACTCTCTTGTAGTAATAAAACTAGAACATTATAAACATTATATTAAATATTATTTTATATTGAAACAGTTTGCTACTTCTGAGTAAAAGCTAGCTGATAGTGAGAATATTAGTATCCTTTGCAAAAGATATTATATAAAAAGATTTATAGTTTGTTAATTCTGAGCAAAATATAACTAGTAGTTTTTATATTATTATTTTTTAAAAATATAATAAAATTCAATTTAATTTATCAAGCTAAGAAGATTCTATCAAGTATTTCTGAATATCAATATTTTTTTTTTTTTTTTTTTTTTTTTTTTTACTTTATACAAATGCTATCGGCCGAATTTTTTTATTGGTATTGATAATGAGTAAATGATACATATTGTAAGAGTACAATTAGCTACACGTACAACTTTAGATTATCTAATTTAAGTAGTCCACCTGAAGGTTCTACACTAGCTGCTATACCTAAAATCTATTTGAAGATTACCTATTTAAACTCTCTAGCCCTATGATACTTACTCGTATTCTATCTTGTTTTACCAAATTCACCTAACTCTGTGCTACTTCTCCTGGAAGACACCCGAGCTGACATTAGTCCACAAACTTTATAGTTCAGAGCCTAGACCCTATCACAAGGTATCCCTTCACCAACTTCCTAACCGATAGGTGCTGTAGTACCCAACTATGCTACGCTATATCCCAATCTAGCTTGCATATACCCTTATTCAATGTTCGTACAATCCCAGTTTCTACTGTAACCTTCCACCAGATTGGTCCTCTATGTTTTCGGATATTTCATGAGGCAGATCCTCCCAATTCAGTTAGACGCTAAGCCAGATTGGTGTTGCCATATGACCTTGTGTGACAGACTTACTCATACCTACTCAGTAGTATCTTTCAGCCACAAATTTCTTTCACCAGATCAGGTGTAAACCAGTATGACTATTGAAATTTGTACTACTTCACCTAACTCGGAATTTCTACCATGCAGGTCCCCTACCCATAGATCAATATGTGTATATCATCCTATGATTAACTACTGCTACACTAATATTTTTCTTATCAAGATTTATTCGTATAATGTTACATTTCGCCGAACGCTTTGTCATACTTTCAATACCCCAATTGGTATTGGTGCAATGTAATTTACAGAGTTACAACTCCAGAAACAGGCAGAGTTTTCCGTAAGTTAGATACAGATGTCTAGATAATTATTCAATTCTGTATACAGTGGGATTTGAACCCTAGACCTCTTGCATGACAGTCCGGCAACCTAACCACTACACTAAGATCGCCAGACCTGAATATTAATATTTAAAAAGTTCAACTATATATATAATAATAAAAAATTTGCAATATTTTTAGATGATAATAAGAAGATTAATAGATAAATATTATTAATAATAAAGAATTCCTAGAAGTATCATATCTAGATGACAAAGCAATTCTCAAATAAAATATTTTTGAATAAAAAAGAAAATATTTGAATAGAAAAAGAAATTTCTAAATATAATATTCTTAGATAATAAAACAATTTCTAAATATAATATTCTTGAATAATTATAAAAATTTTTAGATAACAAATTTTAGATATTGATATAGCATACAGCTTACTGCAATCTTATAAGAAAAGAAATTCTCTGCTAGTAACAGATATTTTATGAGCTAAATATATAAGTATAAAAACCTAACAAATTTTAAAAATTATTACAATATCTATAACTATAATTTTTATATCAATACAAACTTTAACCTCTTTACTATAACCTCTTTTATAATTATAAACTTTTTCTCTTTTCTTATATATCTAATAATGAAACAAATTAAAACAAATTAAATTAGAGCTAATTTTTAAAATTTTTATTTTCTTTTATTATTTCTCTTATACTTTCTTATTATATATACTTTATTAATTCTTATTAAAATTTTATTATTTATTTAATTATTTAATTATTATTTAAAAACAGTAGTATAAAAATTTATTTAAATGTTAAAATTTTTATTTTATTTACAAAATTTAACTATTTTCAAAAAATCCAAATCTAATAATCTTTTCTCTACTACTACTACCTCTATTATTATCATCATTATTACTCTTCTTTCTTCTAATTTTATTTTCTAAATTTGATATCTGAGCTTGCAATCTATTTTCTTTTTTTAATAACCTTTTATACTTTGCATCTCTTATCTAATTCCTTAAAATATTCTCTATAATTATTTCTTGCTATACTTCAACTCTTTCTTCTAACTAATAAATCTGATAATATAAACTATTTATTTCTTGTACTAATTTAATAATTTTTAGACTAGAGCTTAAAATATTATTATTATAAATATAAAATATTATTGATAAATATCTTCTATTTTCTATTTAAACTATATCTAAAACTTCAAAAAAAAGATTACTAGAGCTTCTTTTTAAGCAATAAGCAAAAGACTTTCATTATTAGTTATTGAAATAATGAATTATTATTATTATTATTATTATTAAACTTTTAAATTTTTTTTTTAAAGTTTAAAGTTTTTAATTTTATTAAAAAACTTTATATACCCTATACTTTATTTTTTATTTGACTTAATTTAAATATTTCTATTAGATAATTATTATCAAATTTCTGCTACTTTTAAGAAGTTAGTTAAAATTTTTAGATATTAAATAGTTGTATGATAATAAGTTAGATATATATATTTAGTAGATCTCTAAATCAAGAGTTTAATTTTAGCTTTAAGTAATCTAAATTTAGCTGATAAATACAGAGAATATTCTTAAGTTATAATATCTGCTATCTTTTTAATATTATTTTATTTAGGTCTGGCGATTATAGTGTAGTGGTTAGGTTGCCGGACCGCCATGCAAGAGGTCTAGGGTTCAAATCCCACTGTATACAGAATTGAATAATTACCTAAACATCTGTATCTAACTTACGGTAAACTCTGCTCGTTTCTGGAGTTGTAACTCTATAAATTACATTGTACCAATGCCAATCGGGTATTGGAAGTGTGCTGAGGTGTTCGGCGAGGAATAACGTTACACGAATAATTCTTAATAGGATCTATGAGCAGAGGACCTACATGGTAGAAATCCCAAGTTAGGTAAAGTAGTATGGATTTCAACGGTCATACTAGTTAACGTCTAATCTGGAAAAGGAAATCTGCGTACAAAAAGATTAGCGAAATAGATACGAGTAAGTTCTGAGTACAGAAGGATTGATGAAACAGGTACGAGTAAGTCTGTTACACAAGGTCATATAGTAACACCAACTTGGCTTAGCGGCTAACTGAATTTGGAAGGATTTGTCTCGTGTGATATCCAGTGGCAAAGCAAGCAACACCAAGTAACAGATTTGGGGGGATCTACTTCGTGTGATATCTGGAGGCACAGATGACTAACTTGGTAGAAGACCACAGTAGGAACTGGGTTTGTACGAATATCGAACAAGGGTATATGCAAGCTAGATTAGGATATAGCGTAGCATAGTTAGGTACTACAACACCTATCGATTTGGAAGTTAGTGAAGGGGTACCTAAGATGAGCCTAGACTTCGAATCATAAAGTTTGTGGACATATGTCAGCTCGGGTGTCTTCTTAGAGAAGTAGCACAGGGTTAGGCTGAATTGGTAAAAATAGATAGAAATGGGTAAGTCATAAGGCCAGAGGGTTTAAATAGGGAATCTTCAAATAGGTTTCAGGTATCACAACTAGTATAGAACCTTCAGGCGGACTACTTAAATAGACAATCTAAAGTTGTACATATGACTAGTTGTATCTTTACAATATGTATCATTACCTACTATCAAAAACCAATAAAGTTTCAGCTGATAGCATTTGTATAAAGTAAAAAAAAAAAAAAAAAAAAAAAAAAAAAAACAATAAAATCTTACTATTTTTAGCTTAGTGATACATATCAGGCTTTATACTATACTAGCTATACTAGCCACCTTGTAGGTTACACAACTAATATTACATTATACAAACTAAACTATACCTTCTCAGAAAGCTCTCTTTGCTCTTATCTCAAATATAATATTATAAAATTACTAAAACCTCTTTACAACAACTTCTAAAACAATATACTATTTTAATAACATGTCTACTCTCACTCAATACAAACCTGACTTCTTTGACTTAGACTACTTCTTATCCAAGTATAGTAATAGATATAGTATAGTCACATGCAAACAAAATCTTGCTCAACTCAAACTAATACCCTTTGCCTTCTCAATACATACTTACTAAACAACTCCACTACTTCAACG